TTTCTTATTAAAAAAATTAAATTATACAACTAAAACAAAATGTTGAGTAAGCTACGAGAAATATTTGATCCCGAAAAAGTAAAAATATTTATTCTATGAGACATCAAAGCTTATGATTTTTTCACAGATCAGCATTATATAAAAACAGGAATGAACTGTTTAAAGTATTATTTTATTTTTAAAGATATTTATTATTATTAATTAGCTCAGCATTATTTTAAATTACATCATTTTCTTATGTCTTACTACTGATTATTTTTTAATTAAAATTTATTATTACTTACAGTCACACATATACATACATACATATACCTAGCAGAGTCCCAATTATCTGAGCTAAAATGGACTAAGACTACCTTGGATAAATAGAAACTTAGATAGATGAATGNCAAGGTATCATTATACCTAGGTGTTCTGCTATGAATCTATATAACTATTGTTGGTGGCCTAGCTTTATCTACATTTGGTCTTAATTGCATGCCTGATTTATGGGTCTTGACAACAGCAAACTTCCTCAGGATGTCTGGTAAATGTATAATTACCAGATTGAAGTGCAAAACCATGGTGAGTGGTGTTTTGATTAATTTGTTAATGATGTTTTGAAGTGCTTTTACATATTCATTGTTTATATGCTCACATTCCATAGACATGATATAGCTTTCCAGTATTGTAATGTATAACAACCTCTTCATTAAAACTATTACTTGACTTCTGTCAGCTATTAATTGCTAAGTCTTTGTTATCTTGTTTGATGTTTCCTAAGGTGAAGTCTGTATACCAATGAAAGAATTCCTTACAGGTGTGATTAACCTTGATAACAACTTTTCAATTTCCGGTAGAATTTTGTCAGGATTTAATGATGTCAGTTTAGGTGCAAACATTCTGTCAAATGTAAGGGCTTGTTCTAATACTTTCAGTGAAGTGATATTATCTTAGTGTGTTAATAGCTGTTATATTAAAGTATTGTGCCATCTTTTTTGATTATAGAGTAACCATCTCAATTTCTTAAAATATATTCTATATAGAATGTGGGGTTATTTCTATTTCTAGCCCAATTACTCTTCAATTGATTTCTGATAGATGGTTTGAATAAGTTGTTCTTTAGATTTATAAGTTTGGTAAACTGAGCATACATAATTCTTCTTGAATTTTGAATAGTTTTTCATAGGCATATGAATCTAGGCTTTGGTAGCAGTGATTGGCATCTGTTAGATAACTTAAATCTGAAATGACATGGTAAATACTTTATTTCGTTTGCATTCAAAGAGGAACCTAGTTTTTCTTTTGCTCTGATATTTATTTATTATGGCAAAGCCATAGTAGATCATTCAGATGTTCAAGCTGGAACCTCAGTTCACAATATGGCAAAATTATAACCTTACTCACTATTTCCAGCAGATAATGAGCAATTGCTGCTGCAGGATCAAAGTCAGAGGTGCATTATACTTGAATATGAAGGTAGACTCAGCTTCACCACAAATTAATTGCTAAGTACTGTGGGGTCTGGCTAACATATTGTTGCAATATAATAGAATTTTCAATTATATAAGAAAATCAAATACTCAACCAGAATGGAAAGAGTTATCAGAAAAAAATTTGGTGATTAATAAATCAGATTTAGCATACATGAGTATGTTAAAAGAATTTTGAATTTAGGTCTGAACTTGAACATGCTCTTTAAGAATGATGCATTAAAAATGGAGGCACATATAGATTTGATGTTACAAAGACTACCGGTTGATAAAATTATAAGGGAAAAACTTACGGGAAACATAACTGAAAATTTAAAAAAGTATGTGAAAAGGGAAAATGATAGACCACAGATAGTAGAATATAGAAGTACACTAAGCAATAACTTTACCAGAAAACTGAAACTGTATGTGTAGAGTAAAGAATCATGCCTAAATGCATGATTCCAGCAAAGAAATGCTTAACTTCAATGTTCAAATGTTTTTGGCCACTATTTTATTGGCCCTCTTCAGGAAATGTAAAACAGAAAAACCATTCTATAAAACTGTTTTCCTGAAGAGGGCTGATAAAATAGTGGCCAAAAACATTTGAACATTGAAGTTAAGCATTTCTTTGCTGGAAATTTTGCATTTAGGCATGATTCTTTACTCTACACACAGTTTCAGTTTTCTGGTAAAGTTATTGCTTAGTGTACTTCTATATTCTACTATCTGTGGTCTATCATTTTCCCTTTTCACATACTTTTTTAAATTTTCAGTTATGTTTCCCGTAAGTTTTTCCCTTATAATTTTATCAACCGGTAGTCTTTGTAACATCAAATCTATATGTGCCTCCATTTTTAATGCATCATTCTTAAAGAGCATGTTCAAGTTCAGACCTAAATTCAAAATTCTTTTAACATACTCGTGTATGCTAAATCTGATTTATTAATCACCAAATTTTTTTCTGATAACTCTTTCCATTCTGGTTGAGTATTTGATTTTCTTATATAATTTTTTTTCTTTATCTATCTAATATCTATTAAATTGTTTACAATTACTGTATCACAATTATTATATTTACTATTTAACGATGTTCTTTTTAAACTAGATTTTAACTGGTATGTGATGTGCTATAATCCTCTTTTCTAAAACTTAACTGTTTCTTTATTTATTAATGTTTCAATTTTTCACACTGAATGCTTCTGAATATTCTGTCATATTGACACCAGAATTCTCATAGTAGCTGGAGTGGTTTCTGCTCTGAGATGACGTATTAGATAATCAACATCTGTCTGGATCTGCTCTAAAATCTGTATTTTCATTATTGAGTAAAGTAAAAAGAATTCTTAAAATGCATTCCAGAACAAAAATCTCATTATTTGAATTTGCAATGGTAAAGATCCAAGGAAGACATCTCTAGGAAGTTGAAAACTTTATTGCAAGACTGAAATTATCTGCTGGGAAATAGTGAGTAAAGTTATAATTTTGTCATACTGTAAATCTGTCCAGATATAATAAACTGGTCAAACTTATAACATTAATAAATTTGACAACATATGATAAGTTAGTAAAAAAAAAGAAAAAATAAAAGTGACAAAGATAAACATTTAGGTTAGGGTTCAATGACTGCTGGTTTTTAGTCACATTGTTTTTATCTGGAGACTATATATACTTATAGAAATATTGTAGTGTTTTGTTTCATTGTTTACAATATTACTTATACATAGAATAATACAATTAAAAGAAAGATTACAATATTTTATTTTTATATCTGAATTATAGCGGTGTTTCTTTTAAGTTAGTTATTGTTCTAGAGAATTAAAAATACACAGAGTTAATTAAAATCAAAAACATAATACAAAAATAAGACATTTTACATTGAAATAAATTGGCCTTGAGAGCTACATGTTGGATAAATATCACGTGAAATGAAGTTGAGCTATTTAGAGTTTAGGAAAGATTTGCCAATTGTTATCTGCTGAACAAGCATAAACATTATTGGCATGAAGCATAGAATCATTAATAAATTGAATATTTGCCAATTAAATGGTATTTGGAACAATTTATGAAGAATAACTGCATTTTATATTTACAGATAATTCTGCAGATTTTATTTAATTTGTAATTAAGTTTTAAATCTTTTATTTCAGTTTATTTCATATTAATATATTGAATTTTTGTTGTATTTCTTATTAAATTTAATAAGAAATACAACAAAATTTTGTTCATAAATTAAAGATTATTCGAATTTATTGTTTATATTTGATTTATTATTTAATATTCTAATATTATTTAAAAATTTAATGTAGCAGTTTTTGATGGTAATAATCATTGTTTATTATTAATAAATGATGATCACAAATAATAACTAAATAATAAATTAGAATTGATCACATTTAAAAAACAACCATTTAAGAATAAAAGGAAGTAAAGGTGATTATCTTAAATTGTAAACAAGTTTTAATAGATGACCTTTGATTTATTTAAAGTAGTAGTAGTAGTAAGATATTAAAATGTAGAATGCTGTTTGATGCCAAAATACTCAGAATGAGTTTTTTATTTTGTTACTCTTATAATATTGCTTCATATTTTGTTATTAAACTGATTAAGAAAATATGAAATAGTTTTTGCCATGCTGTAAAAAATTTGGAAAAGTTTTTATTGTGATTAATACTACTGCGAGGCACTTTTTTAAAATCATCATAACACCTCATTTTTCGACCATTCGTACTCATTTTTCAAACAACAGTAGAGACCAGATTTTCATCAAAAAATGCATCTTTTATGTCACATTAGTCAAAATTGCCCCAAAATGACTATAAAGTATCAAAATTTTAACATTTTCTAGAAAGTGCCAATTTTCAGACAAAACTGATCAAAATGAGACCAAATTGAGGTCAAAAACGATTTAAAAAAAGACAATATTTAGTCAACAAATTTCATGTTATGTGTCTGTTTACTATTTCCCACATCTTTGGTTCCTGTTTTAGACAAATTTGAAATCACTCATCTTTACTTAAATTTTACATATAAATTTCAACTGAACTTGAAGCTGGCATAGTTATTCTCTGGTACTGTACAGGAAAACATGGACTACCATAAAACTTGGATTCTCCACTCTCTCTCTCTCTGATTTCTTCTCTTACCCCCAAACTCCCAAATCTTTCGAACAATTCAGACAAATTTTGTGTAGTTAGTCTCTACAATCCTCTAAAAAATATAACCTATTTTAAAACTCGGACTTTTTAAAACTCCGTCCTCACAAATTGACAAACTATTTGATTGATTTGCACAAAATTTTGCATAGTTACTCTCTGCCACCCTGTGGGAAACATGTTACTCTATAATGAGGATAACTCAACTCTCTCCCTGAGTTCCCATACAATACTGGGCATTCTTTGCTAGTGTTTTATAAAATCAAAGTTAAGAAACCTTCAGTATTATTATGCAAATAATTTTTTCTACAGTTTTGATTCCATTAAAAATTTAAATTTATAATTATAATGAATATTTTGTAGTAAATAATTTTTAATAATTTTATATTTATAGGAATTATTTAAATTTTGTTACAGAAGAACTGAAAGATCCCTTTAGGTAAAGTTAAGGAATATTTTTATTTTAGATTTTATTTTAAATAATATCTTAATGTACGAGTATAAAATTTGGGAAAGTTTGATACTTTTTTAAAAATATGTATGTAATGTTAACATTTAAAATATTTATGCTAATACAAAGAATAAAACTTAATACAGTGGTACCTTGTACTTTGAACGACTCTAACTTCAAACACTTCAGAGTTTGAATGCTAAATTTGACAAAAATTTTCCTTGGAGTTTGAATGATGCTTTGAAATTCAAACTGTGCAAAATATACACTCAAAGTATAAACACAATTTGTTGTGGATTCAAGTTGTCTCTCACTCTTGTATTTCACTTGTGTGTTTTTTGTGCTTTTATCACTTTAATTTTGGTGTGTTTAGTTGTGTACAGTATATTGTGTGTTGTTTGTTGATTTTTAACAATTTCTGTCTGTAATTTTTTTTTGTCAACAGCTTTTGGGTACCCTGTATGATTTGTATCCTTTAGTTCAAAATTTCTTAAATAATACTTTTTCAATGTTCAAAGATTAGCAGCATCTTTCTCCTACACATTACAGATTGTTTATATTGTTTGTATAGTGTTATATCCTCTCCAAAAACCAATAAAGCCTATATCCAATATGCTTTTTATCTGAAGACATTTCAACTTGATGTTGAAACAAAATGAGAAGAAATAAGTTTAAAATAAGCTTTTAGATAAAGAACAAAATTTCATGTTAGCAGTAATTTGAGATCATGTTCTTTATAATTGAATGTTATAATTAAATCACACATCTATGTTAAGTAACGACAACTGTTAGTAATACACCAAAACTTCCTGTTGAACACAATACAACCTTTACTTATCAACCATTACATTTGAGAAGTGTATGGAAGCAACAGAATCCAAAAGGAAGATTGTAATAATGATAATTGAAATGAGAAAGGAACTTATCACAAAGCATGCAAGCAATACAAGTATGGCAGATTTAGTGGCCATGTTTAAGATGCTGATGTCAATGGTATGCAACTAGTTAATGCAATTTTCTATTTTATTATACAGTATTTTCATATATTTCTAATTGTTTTTGTATTTTGATGTATCATAGGGCATTTGATTGAGTTATTTTTACCTTAAATTTTGTGTATTTGCTGTTTTAAGTTTATCGAAATGGGTATTATTCAGGGTCTGGGAATGGATTGGCTTTCCATTATTTATAACAAGAAAAATTGCTTCAGACTTCAAATGAGTTAAAGTTCAAATGGCTCCTGGAAAGAATTAAATTCGGACTACAAGGCACCACTGTAAATAATGATATATTAAGTTTTTTCTTTATTATGTTTAATATATATAATTATAATACATATGTATATTAAATATATTTCTTATATATTAAGAAATACATTTTGTATTTATGGAGGTGCTATACAAAAGCAAAGAAATCCACAAAAAATCAAAGTTGAGTTTACAATTGATTTTTTTTTTCTTCAGCCTCATTCCTATCTACTGTTATAGTCGGTTTCATTCAAAAAAATATGCACCCAACACTTCTTGAGTTTTGAAAGTTCTGTGCAAAAAAGAACATCTCTTTACATGTGCTCCAAGCAGAACAAAACATATCCATTGCAATCTGCCTCAGCCAATGATGAGCTATGATTGAGTCACGTGACTTCCAGAATGCAACTGGTGGTTTTGCTTTTGTGTCATTTTGTTGTTCTGTTGGAACAGAGATTTTGATGTTAAAATGTTGTTTATTAGTACACATTTTATTATACAGTGTATTTCAATGTTATAATTGAGTGAAAATGGATAAAAATGGTTTGATAAGTGTAGAAGAAGGCAATGTTGGATCTAGAAAGAAACCTAAAACTGTTGGAGTATGGGCAAAGAAGAAAATACAAAAATACAGTGCTCCTTTGGGATGAGATTTGAGGATGTAAGTTCGCTGACCTGGTGGAGATTGGAAACTTTTTATTCCACTCTCGGACACCAGTGAAAGTTCGCCGACTTCCGGGGGGGAATCGTTAATCCCGCGTCAGAATGATCAAGGGTCGAACGCGTGTGGGTGTGGTGGAGGAGACACAGATGACAANCCCAATTTGCACAATCTGGCGTTACACATTTATTGAAGCTACTGGACATGGTTAAAAATTAAGACAGCGTAAGCACAATTATTCCATATATTACATGTTCTGACAAGTAAAGAATTTTCAGAGTCCTGGCACAAATAAGCTACGTATTGATTATCGACCATTTGTGACATGCCATAACGAACAAAAATTAAAAAAAAAAAAACTAATAGGGTAGGTTTAAAATTAATAAATACAAATGTATTCTGACAGTGAATGAGATAATTATGCTTTTTATTTGCAAAATTTCTTAACTTTAACACAAAATAAGAAAGAAAGTGAATTTTTAAGAAATTTGCGGGATTTCCTGGGATATTTCCCGAGTTAGAAAAACAACCAGGATCCCGGAATCCCGTTTGAGAAACACTAGTATAAACAAGTGTTATGAAACAGAACCAAACTTGAAGCAGATGACCCAGAAAAAGAAGAAAATAATGGGAACCTGTGTGATTGTTTGGGAGAAGACATTAATTGTTCATCCCTATTTTGTAAAATGCCATGTTTTTTTGATAAGTCAAAGTAGTGACCAGTATAACAAAGTGAAAAAAATGTAGTGGCCAGGCAAAAGAAAACATATCCACTCTGTCCAAGAAAAAAGAAACATATTTCTATTTTAATGTCATATAATTAAATACTAACTATATTCCTATCAAAAACTGCCTTCAAATATTGATGTTAGATACAAAGTGAAAAAAATTAATAAATTTTTACAGGTGTGTGGTGTAAAATAAATTCAATAAGTGTTTTGCATTTTTCCAACAATTGTTTAGAGTGGACTTGTTTACTTTTGCATGGCACCTCCACATTTGTCATTTTTCCAATATAAACCAATATAAAATTAATTGATATAATGTGAAAGATATTTTTTAAATTTTTAATAAAGAATAGATATTATAAGGTTTTAAAATTACAGTAAAACCTCTTCTGATGATCAATCTGATAATGTGAAGGGGGTGGTCGTTAGAAGAGGTTTTACTGTAATTTCTTAGAACAGAATTTTTATTCCACAGGACTCATTGTTTTTAACTTAATCTCTTTAACTGATCAATGATCACCTTCAGGTCTTCCTCCAGGTGACCTGTATTGTAATTTTTCAGGATAACCAGTAGTGGAATATAACCTGCAGTGTCATATCCACAAGTTTCCAGAGAAGGTTCATGTATTTTCCTGTACTGTAGTGCCATCATTGTGCCACCATTAAGATACTGCAAGATCTAGGTAACTGCAGAACTATAGAATTGAGAATATAATTGATTTTGAAAGAACTAATAGAAATTTGTTCATAATGCCCACTTTGTTAGTAATTGTAAGGGATATAATGTTTTTTAAATTATGAAGAGAGTATTTTTAGACAAATTTAATTTTTTTTTTAAATAAAGCAAGAAAGTATGTTACATGCATGGTGGGGAAATATGATTTAAAAGTGAAAAAAATTTAAAGTAAATTTAAGGAAACCTAAATCTTATTTTATTTTTTTGTTTCTAGAAAATAATTGGCAAAATTTTCTTAAAATTTTACTAATATTCCATTGTTATTATCTATTAGGAAATATTTATATCACCATTTAATTCATAAAGTAGTCCAAAATATTCACAAAATGTAATAGAATAAAGACTAATGCAAAATTTTTGAATTTTTGCATAGTTTATTCTACAAACTTGTATTTTCTAATTTATTTTCACATGTACAGTTGTTTTCACTAATTAGTACTATAAAATCATGGAATAATGACACAAAAATGGTCACCTTTTGGAATACCAAGCTATATTTGAATATATTATTTTAGAAGTAAAGTCTGTGATTACCAAGAAATGCTTAATTATAGGACTCTTATAATTATTTTTCAAGTAATAAAGTATGTGAAATTTTAATTAATAAACAGGTCACAAAACATTTGTGACCTATTTATTAAAAATTAGAGAATTTCTAAGACTTATAATGGTCACAGGTATTATTAGGAAACCGCGCCTAAGCATGTATTTTACAATTGAAGATCTTTTCTCTAAACCATTTCTTTCGAGTGTGATGTCGAGCAACTGCTTTCTGCTCTTATTGTCATATCTGCATTTTATAGACAATAATCAAGCTTCAAAAAACTGCATAAATTGCATAAATTGATAAACTGCATAAATTGCACAGTCTTATCGATCGTTTACACCACAGATTCAAATATGCTTATGTCCCAGAGGAAAATGTCTGTATAGATGAAAGTCTTATGTTATGGAAAGGGAGACTGGGATTTAGACACTATATACCAAACAAGCGCACTCATTTTGGAGTGAAAAGCTTCGAAATTTGCAAGTCACGAACAGAATATGTTTGGGACTTTATAGTTTACACCAGAGCTACGACTGAATATGGAAATTTTGAAGGTGGGCAAAGTGAGAAAGTTGTGCTTGCCTTATTAGAACCATTGTTCAATAAAAATCACAAGGTTTTTTTACACAGGTTTTTCACCTCGCCAACCTTAGCAAACACACTTCTGGAGAAACAAACCTGTGTGTGTGGAATGGTAAACAAAAATTGGATAGGAATGCCACGCAATTTTCCTGACCATAAATTGAAGGAAGGGGAATTTATAACCTGTCAGAAAGATAAATTGTCTGTGTTTTGTTGGAAAGATAAAAGGGATGTGACAATTCTAAGTGCAATGAGTGACAACAAATTCTCTGATTCGGGTAAACATAACAGATCAGGAGAAGTAACAATGAATCCAAATTGTATTTTAGATTATAATCATAATATGGGTGGAATCAATCTCTGTGACGGAGTGATACACAATTATTTGTGCATGAGAAAAATGAGTAAAATGGTATAAAAAAGTGTTTTTTCATATGATGGATATTGCACTATATAATGCTTGTGTTTTGTATTGCCAACGTATGAA